GAAACACTACTTGATTGTAGCACATCCTCGACCAATTTACATATTAATAATAGTACATACAACAAAGATTCATATGTTGTTGATATCACCATTCAAATGACCCCAATGACAATTTCAATGAAATGTTCGATGACATGGAGGCTAATATGGGTGATGTTGAACAATAAAAATTACATGGCCTATTTGAAGAAGCAGAAACACCGTTATATAGCGGTTGCAAATTTATGAAACTTGATGTTGTATTGAGGTTGATGAACTTAAAGTCAAAAAACGGATGGAGTGATAAAAGTTTCACAAGTCTATTAGTGCTTTTGCATGACATTCTTCCGGAAGACAATGAATTACCCATTTCTACATACCAAGCAAAAAAGCTAATGTGTCTGATGGGATTGGAAATTGAAAGAATACATGCATGTCCAAATAATTGTATGTTGTATGGAAAGGAGTTCGAGAATAAACATAATTGTGTTTTTTGCTGTGCATCGAGGTATAAACAAAAAAAAGATTTGGATGAAGTTGACGATGATGTGACAAAAAATGGACCACAGGCTAAAATGTTGTGGTATCTCCCGATTATACCGAGACTGAAAAGGTTATTTTCAAACGAAAAAGAAGCAAAGTTACTTTGTTGGCATTCGGAAGAATGTGAAACTGACAGAAAACTAAGACATGTTGCAGATTCACCTCAGTGGAGAAATATTGATAAGAAGTATCCTAAATTTGGAAAATAGATAAGAAGCATACGGTTTGGGTTTAGTTCATATGGGATCAATCCTTTTGGGAACATAAGCAGTCGTCATAGTACGTGCATGGCCGATTCTTTGATGTGTATTTGTCTCCTTTGATTGATGACTTAAAAACTCTTTGGAGTTCGGGTGTAGACGTATATGATGCTTATAAGAAACAAGACTTTCAATTGTGGACCATGATTTTTTGTACTATAAGTGATTTTCCTACATATGGTAACTTGTCAGGATACAAAACAAAAGGTAAGAAAGCTTGTCCAGTTTGTGTAGATCAAACAAGCTCGATATTGTTAAGAAATTGCAAAAACACTGTATACATGGGACATCGAAGATTCCTTCTGAAGGGTCACTGTTTTAGGAAGAAAACTATTGAGTTTGATGGAAGTATCGAGATCAGAACGATGAGGAAACTATTTGATGCATTTTCACGAGTTGCAAGTATAAATGTTGTGTTGGGAAAAAGATTTCGTGTTAATAAAGAGGCCCTTTGGAAAAAAGTCAATTTTCTTTTGAATTGCCTTACTGGACACATTTGGATGTTAGACATTGTCTAGATGTTATGCATATTGAAAAAAAAAGTATGTGAGAGCTGGATGTGCTTATTATTAGGTATAATGCATAAAACTAGAGAGTCTAATATCCGAAAGGACATGGTTGAGATGGGGATACGTGAAGACCTTATTCCCGAACATAGTGCTAGCTAACCGTGTTTATCTCCCAGCTGCTTGTTATACTACATCCAAAGAAGAAAAAATAAAGTTTTATCAATGTTTACATGATATTAAGGTTCCATCAACTTATTCTGTAAACATTAAAAGATTTATATCGATGAAAGACTGTAAATTGTTTGGAATGAAGTCTCATGATTGTCATGTTATGATGGCACATATGATTCCTATTACAATTCATGGAATTTTACAAGATGACGTATGACATTCTATCGCTAAGCTTTGCTTGTTTTTTAAAAACATTCACTTAAAGGTTATTGACGTAGAAGATTTGGATAAATGGGAGAAAGACTTTTATGTTACACTTTGTGAATTAGAGATGCACTTTCCACCCTCATTTTTTGATATAATGGTTCACTTGATATCTCACATCGTACAAGAGATTAAGGCCTGTGGTCCCATATTCTTACGGTACATGTACCCTTTTGAAAGATACATGGTATTCTAAAAGGTTACGTAAGGAACCGTAAACGACCCAAGGGCGATATTGTTGAAGGGTTTACTTCTCAAGAGGTGATTGAGTTCTGCCATGGTAATCCTATTAATAATATATTACAGTTATAACATTTATAATATATTACATATAATATAGTAATTTAATTTTTTATAGGCTATATGAAAGATGCCGAAAGTGTTGGTGCTCCTAAAACTCGTCATTCAGGTCGACTTGAAGGTAAGGGATGAGTCGGTTTGAAAATAACCATGCCAACTTATGAAGAGTTACAAGTTGCACATTTAGTGGTCCTAAAAGACATGAAATACCTTACTCCATACATTGATGAACACATGGACATGTTGAAGTCAAAATACTCGGGCAAGGAACAAATGTGGTACATAAACAATCATAATAAAGAGTTTTCAAGGTGGCTGAAAAAGATGGTTTTACACTTGTCGACGTTACAACTAATGACTATGCATCTGAACCATTCGTTCTAGCAAAACATGTCACACAAGTTTTCTTTTTCAAAGACCCGAGCAAACAAAAAGAGCACATCATCTTATAAGGGAAACAACGTATTCTTGGTGTTGATAATGTCGTTGATGAGGAAGAATAGGACCACTTTGATGATCTACCACCATTTTGTCGGTATTGAACCTAATAATTACGATAATGTTGAACGCACAATATTTGTACGATCTAACATTGAAGGGACATACGTTGATTAAGGGCATGAATGGGGTTTTTCTTATGCATTTTTTATTATTGTGGCTACATGATTTTTGTATCAAATACTATCTATTGATAGAGTAATTAAAATATTGTCCTTATCTTTTGATAATTACAATGTTTCTATATTACTATCCATTCATAGAATAATAATCTCCAACTACATTACAGTAGTTGTTTTAAGTAAATACATTGAATAACATTAAACATATACTTATGGTTTGCATTGTATAACATTAAAATGTATTAGTAAGAGTGTAATATTTTTCCTTGTTCTGTTAACAAAATAGACAACTAAGACTTTTACTTGTTCTGTTAACAAAATGGACAAATGCACTTTCAGAAAAAGGTAACGTACTTATAACTTCAAAAACCGCCTCAACAAATCAAGAAATCGTCCTAAAATATATACAAAATAGCTTTAAAATAAATTTTTTCAAATGGAAATAATCAAATTAAATAATAACATACGATGGTGATAAGTTTTTCAAATGAAATTGCATCTTAAAATTAAACCGACTCAAAAATAAAACCGCCTCAAATAATTACTTAATAGCATCAAAAGATAAATTAATAGCATCTTAATTTAGGTCCAGGAAACCACTTGAAAAAACCCTCGATAGCCGCCACCAAATTCCACACAAATCGCATCAGCAAAACCTAAAACCGCCCCAAATAATCTCTTTCCCTCTAAAATTTTCGTTTTAGCTTTCTAATATTTTCATTGCGCGTCAGCTCTTCTCTAGTCCATAGTTGAATTCGTAAACCATTCTTTATGTACAACATCCATAGTCGACGCTACATCAGACAACATTCACATCGCTATGCTGACCTCCATTCCAACCGTCCCCGGCGCCTAAATCGCTCCACAAGCCTCCGTTTCAATACGTTGGCCTTTTCGAGTTTCTTTGTCATAAGGTATGTATATATATCCATTTTCTTTTTGTCTTTTTATACTTTAGGAATCTTTAAGAATATGAGAAGATGATGAGGAATCTTTAGAATATATGATAAGATGAGCACGTGACTATCTTTACAGTATATTAATGATTTTCCTTTTGTCAAAAAGTGTTATTGCTTTACGTTATACTTTAGAGATTTTTAGAATATCTTTAGAATATGAGAAGAGACTTATCTGATGTCGTATTCTATTTAATAAATGTAATATTTGGGTCACATATATGGGGTCTACCAATTTCACTGGATCTATAACTTTTATGCTGGATTATGTTTTTGTTTTCTTGTAATATACTATTTTATTTGAATATTGTGTTGGAATATGGTTTTTGTTGCTCTAATGTTTATCATGTTCAAGTGTTTATCATAGATAAAATTATTTTTAATTTGTATAATGTTCTTAGGTTATAAAAATGGATGAGGTACGACCAATAAAAAAAATGTCAATGCGGTATTGCTACATTCAAGAAAAATTATCGTCCTGAAGAGTATAATGTTAAGTTCAATGAGAATAATATCCCAAATGGTGGCATGTCAACCCAATTTATGTCTTGGTTTGGCACGAATGTTCAACAAAAGTTTCCCATAGAAAGCTAAAGATAAATATTTTAAAGATTTATGGGTGGAAGCCAATGTATTATATTTTAATTTATTACAAATATGAATAACTTGTTAGTTAGTTATTATGTTTAACATTTTTTATTTGAAATTGTAGAAACAGTGGAATATCGAGTAGAAACAGTGGAATATCGAATCTGATGACATCAAAGATTATATGAAGAGGAGAGCTGTGAAACTTACATCAAATTTTAAATCAAGGCTAGTTCCAAATTTTGTAAATAAAAAGTTAAATGCATGTTATATATATATATATATATATATATATATATATATATATATATATATATATACATGGTGATGTATGGGATAGATTCGTTGCACAAAAAACTACCTGTGAGTTTTTGGTATGTTTTAATTGTTTATTTATTATTATTATTGATAATATTATTAGTATGTTTCCAAATAATTAATAACATTTTGTTGATATATGTATAGGCAAAAAGTATAAAAGCTAAAGAAAATAGTGGTAAAAAGAAATCCCAAAACCGCGTAGGACGAGGTGGATCGTCAGGTATTGAAAAAAAAGCACCTATTGTATGGCCTCTACTTGTAGCAAAACATGAGTTTTTAGAACGTATACAAAATGAACGGTCTAAGTTGTATTTAATGTCTTTCGCAATAAAAGACAAAGAAACCAAGATGTATGATCTTCCACAAAAAAACAATTGAAGTTTTCAAAATTTTGGTAACAATTATGTTTTTTAAATTATGAGATGTTGATTATTTTCAGTAAATAAATGTTACCAAGTATATTTTATATAGGAACGAGAAGAGAAAAATATGATATCCGATGAGAGTTATTATCAAAATGATGAAGACCCGTTAGTTAGAATTTTTGGGGCCCGAGCACGGGGGCGATCACGGACAATATCTAATATCATTGGGCCTACTATGTTTCCGGTAGATTGTTTAAGAATGGGGAAAAAAGTCGAAACTCGATACCACAGGTTGACACGAGGCCAACATTTCGTGAATCTAATGGTGTGTCTAGTGAACGATTGGTAGAATATCCACCTATTGAGGTAATATATTTATAGTTTTGATATAAACTTATATTAGATTTATAGTTTTTCTGTATGATTTGCAGGTTATGACAACATGTGATTTGCTATTAAAAGTTGCTAATACTGAGTTGAAAGTAGCTTCTGGTATGGCATGGTCAACCTCAGAAACGGTTATACATTCAAAACCAGTAAATGAAAGTTATGTTAAAGTTCAGGTTGATGAGATCATAGAAATATAGGAGAACTTGCCTGTGATTTTTTGTACTATAAGTCGCTGAGATATGCATTACAGGTATATTTTTATTTAAATACAAAAATATTTTTTAATATAGTTTTATTTAAATATTACAATCTATTTATCTTGCAAGCAAAACACTGACCAAGTCAAATAGTGGTACGAGAATGGGCTCAAGTCGCTCCTGTCTAGAGATACATATTGATGACACCACAACTTCATTTTATCGTCCACAGGTAGTCGTACGGTTCACTCTTATAAAATGTTGTTAATTTAGTTTTATTTGTTAATATTATAAAAATGTGTTTGTTATTTTAGTTTGAGGAAAATCACTTTCCTTATCATCATCAAATGGATGCTAATGAACCTTTTTTAGGTGGTTTAGCTGATATGGTTAGTCTTAAAAAAACTTGTTTTATGTTTGTTTTAGATGTTTAATGTTTGTATACAATCATATGCAAGGTTGTAAAAATCGTTCAGCGGCTGCTCAACAGTCGACTGGTGATAAGCAATTAATCAGGCTCGGCGGGGATTAATCGGCGATTAATCGGAGACCCTAAATTATTAATAAAATTATTTAAAATTTTAATATTTCCTAAAAAATTAAGTATTTGGAAATTTTAAATTTTAAAATTTTGGAAATTTTAAAAATTTTAGTATAATATTTTAGAACTTGAAAGCTTAAAAACTTAAATTTTTAAAATTTTGGTGTAATATTTGAAAATCAATTTTTTTTATTTTCTTAAATATTTCCCGCCTATGACCGCTAAGTTCGAGTTTGACCGATTTTGACCAATTTCCGCCAAGCACCCTTATCGTAATCGGTTCGAGACCGTCAAACGATTAATCGCCGATTAATAGGCCACCAAGGCTAATTTCCGCCAAGTACTAATGCTTTATGTTTGTTTTTAGATATTATCTATGAATCCACCACAAATTGATTTAAATGCACTCGGAGTCGGATCCGGGCTAGAACGCGAACACGATCCCGAACCCGAGCCTGACCGCGAAACCAAACATGAACCCGAATCTGAATCCGAACCCGAACCATTTACATTTGTAGATCCCGCTCTTTATATACGTTTGAGCAAAGTACAACAAAAAAGTCTTAAAATTCAAGCTATTGCTTCTCAAGTAGCAGACTTTTTTTAAGATTGCATATGGAACTTATATTTTTTCAACCAGAGGGATGTATCGCGACAATGTTCGACTTCCCATCCTATATAGCGAGGTGTTACAACTATTTTTAAGGGACTGACTTGATTATAGTATTATACACTGGTTTGCGGTTTAAGTTATTATATATTTAATATGGTATGATAACATTTAGATATAATTAATTTTACTAACATTGTGTAGTATATATAGGTGTTTTTCTAGGTCTCTAAATTCCGAATGCGTTTTTTTTTTATCCGTTACGCAGTGCAAGATTAGATACGCAAATAAGGATGACGGTTGTCGCGGACATATCGTAGAAGTATTTTCGTATCATGAAGGCAAAAATATATTTTCTTGCTCCATATTTACAGGGGTATTTTTTTCTTTCTATAATACATACACACACTACACATATATGTTTAGTTGTTCTGTATATTTTATTTTTGTAGTGACCATTGGGTTCTTTTTATCCTATGTTTGAATAGAAAACTTGCTTATAGTTTGGATTCTTCAAAAAATGATCAAAAAAATTAGACGAATACCTTTTTGCTTCTTTGATAAGTACAATTTTCCCGAGAAGATTTGATAAGTGGGAAATTGTAAATGTATGTTTTCTGTTGTTTTTTATCAATTTATTTCAAGTGGTTTGAAATATTTAATTGTGAATTAAATGTAGTGCTACAAACAAAAAGATAGTTGGGAATGTGGATATATAGTGATTAAACACATGCGAGAGTTTGTTGAGACCATTCAACATGATTTTCAAAATAAAGTAAGTGTTTATTAGATATTTAAAATATCATTTTTTTTATGTAGTTGTTTACATATTTATATAATTTGTTTGTTTGTTGCAGTTTTGGAAAAAAGAAGATGTTTGCTTTGCCTGATAAACTTGAAGATATGGTCTTAGAAATGATATCGCATTTGATTGAAATAGTGAATGATAATCGGAAAAGAACTCAGTAAGAATTCATTAGGATGTTTTATGTTTTATTATAACTAAAACTTAAACTATAAATTAATTGTTTTTTGTGTAATGGTGCAGTATTTTGTAATACCTTTTTGTTTATTGGTATTTTTTTTTGCTGCCATTGATGGCAACTGAATTGTGTTATTTAATAGAGCGTTTTTTGCGCCTTTCTATTTTCTAATGTTGTTGACTAACAACATCAACAAAAGATTGATGATATATATTGCCATTCGTATTGTATTTTAAAAGGCGGTTTACTTTCTAAGCTGTTAATAACAGCATCAAAAAATAAGTCTATTTTATGATGCTATATTTTATAAGGCGGTTTTGAACATCATCAAAAAATTAATAAGTCTATTTTATGAAGCTATTTTTATGAGGCGGTTTTGGACATTTTCTAAGGTGGTTGTAGAACCGCCTCAAAAAACAACACTATTTTATGATGCTATATTTTTTGAAACGGTTGAATAGCCGCATCAAGAAATAAAAGAAACCGTTTTATTAAACCTCAAAGGAAATGCAATAATTGATGCTCGGTAGTCTTGCTGGGAATACTTTTTAGAGCATAGTGCAGATCAAGGCCTATGGGGGCATAGAAATGTACTTGGAGTTGGACTCTTCCCAAAGAGACCACAACCTTCTTCATCTTCTACCTCATTGTTCCCCTAGATCACTCCGGTGAGCACTCAGGTGAGCCTATGCTCATTGGCAATTATAAAGTAACATATTTTTTTCATTAAATAATGTGATTATCTTAAACCATATGATAAGGAAGGCATCTTCTGGGTAAATGGTTTCAATCGTAATAGTTATAATGATTTGAAATAGCCAACCATAAAGTAATATTTAAAACAAAATAGCAAAGAGATAACACAAAGCCATTTACAAAGAGTTCATGAGATTTTAAAACCAATTTAACCAAACCAACGAACCTTAACCAAACCAACGAACACTTATGGTTCCTATTAGTAAGCGATAAAATAGAAAATTATAAAGACAACATCATTCTGAAATCTCAAAATGTACCGACTGTAAGTATACATAATCGCATCCACCCCTATCTTTTTCAAATTCAAAGACACGTCATCAAGAATGTTAAATAACTCACGAACTGAATCAAAATCCATTTGATCAATATCAAGACACAAGAATACCATATCCAAATTCCATCCGTTGCTACACGCCTAACAAAAAGATGATCAAGTTGCTTAACATGGAGCTCACAAATCAGACATAACACCGAAGGAACATCAATATTCTTGTTTTCCAAATTACACCGAGTTGTGATTCAATCCAACAAAACACAGAAAATCATAATATTTACCTTTCTCGGAACAGACATATTCCATCTACTCTCCATATGCTAAAAAGTAAAAATCGTATCATCAATCTATCTCTGACTATCTCAAACCGTGAAGGAACCATCATCTCAAATTTCACACCACCATCTGTCATCTTGATCAGTAAGAACCACATGTTGAAGATATTCCAACAAACTTGAAAGTTGATGCAGTTCTTCACCCTCATGAATATGATGCCGCTAAGACCCATACCAATCTATATTCATTATTCTACTTGCAATCGTACAATCTTTATCCAACTCTAACTCAACAAACCTTGGGAATCTGTTTGACAAAATTTCATCATTTCATTGATTTTTTCGAGAACTTCATGGAAATATAGTTACAAACTTTCCTCTTGATTACCGAATTCACCACCACCCCTTTATTTTGAAGTCAGGTGTTTGAAACCAAAAGACGAGTCCACTGCGTTGAACCATTATGTAACAACCCGTAGATTCGGGCTAATCAATTTAAAAATAATAAGCATTAAAAATAACATTCTGATAGAACATTATTTAGGATAAATAATCTTAACCAAGTTGTAGTATATGTGACAAGGATTTCGTATATATAAAGAACATTGAAATCTGACTTCGTATGAATAAGTTATTCTTCTTCGATGTTTTGCGATTAAACCACCACGACCTTGTGTATCATAAAAAAGTGAATTTTTGGTAAATTACTGTTTAGCCTAAGTGATCTAAACGAATGTCATGGTGGTCGTAAAACCGAGAGCGTGTATATAGATGACTTCCAAATCTGACTTCGTGAGAGGCATGTATGATTCTCGAAATTTCAACGCAACAATACGAATCAAAATCCTAATTGGTTGATTGTTAGTCGAAACAATCTAAACGAGTATTGAAGATCTTGTGAATATGAACTCGTCGATATAAATACAGTCGAGAATTGAGTTCGTATAAAGACGTTATGAATTTTGCACAGACTTTAAAAATCTAAACCGGTCTAAATATGAATTGTTATTAGAGCAATAATTAGATGTTGAGACCTTAATGAAAGTTGTAGAGCTCGTCGTGAGGATTCTAGGGATATAAAGAACATTGAAAAAAGAGCTCATATGCTTAATTTATGGCCGTCCAAAGATCTACGAAAATTTGCCTACGATGATGACGTGGCATCATGCGATGGCGCCACATGGCAATTTGGCTACCCACCCCTCCATGAGTCAAGGTGATGTGGCACATTGTGGATGTGACACATTGCACCACAAAAATGCGTCGCGTGGCAAATTCTAGAAGAAAGTAAGGTGGACCCCTAGAACGATGACACGTGGAAAATATCTGATGGAGCCAGGAAATCTTAGGGGCATTGCGCACCGATGGTTGGTGCGTGTCGCACACCCCCTGTTACTATAAATACATTGTGAATTTTTGCTCATTTACTCACCAATTCCTTCATATCTCTCTCTAATCTCTCTATCTGTCCGAATAGCTTTTCTTCCTAAATTTTAGGAGTATTTTAGTAAAGTCTCAGGAACTCTCGTAACCTAACTAGAAGGAGTATTCTAATCAA